TGATTGGGCGGAGTCGCCTTCGCTCCCCAGTCCCCTCCTGGAGCCCGAGGATTAGTCACCCGGGCTCCCTTTTCCCCCCTCCGCGCCACAATTCCTGGGCATAAAAGGGGAGCACGGTGGCTTATCAAAAATAGCCAGACTGCCAACGGTTAAATGATGGCGACCCGCACACAATGTGTGTTCTGCATGTGTAGGCTGATGCAGAAACCCGGAGACAGTGACATTTCGGCAGCTGTATTGGGTTTTGTGGTGGCATCTTGGATACATTAAGGATGTCTGGGTCCCGTGGTGTTTCCAGCAGAGCCCCCGAGCTTGGGTGGGAATCTGAGACCTTTGCGGGTAGAGAGAATTACTGTGTGGTCCGGAAAGATTGATGCGGACCAGCCTGGCAGAAATGTGACTGGCAAGCCCAATTAATAGTTTCATTTTTGTTAAAAATGAGAGCAGAGGCTGGCCATGTAGCCAATCCTGGAAGAGCTTGCATTTTGTAGGAGAGGTAGACTCTTAACCAACCAAACAGGATATATAATAAATGCAGCTGTCAAGGAATTGGTGCCCTTTTCTCTCCCAACCTTTATTTTTTAAAGCTTTCAACATACAAAATGGTTGAAAGGATTGTTCCCCTTGCCTGGGTTGTACAATTAACATTCTGCTAGATTGCTTCTTGTGTCCATCCTGCTACCTGTTCAGAGATCCTTCTCTTATTCAGAGATCATTCCAAAGTAAAATGTAGATACAAGAGCGTTCTACATCTCAAACTGCAGCATGCACTTATAACTAGAGCTTAGCAAAAGTCTTAACGACAGAAAGTGTTCTAAATCTTAAGTATAGCATTACATGAGTTTTGACAACCACATAATTGTGTAATCCAAATCTCTCAAGATAGATAAAGGTATCACCATCAAAAAACCCTTAACCTCTTCAGTAAGCCTTCTCCTCTCAGTCCCACAAAGACCACTACTGTTCACATTTGCCTAGCTCCTGTGGGCTAGTAGTTGGGCTGCTTAAACTCAGTCAGCAATTCAGAACCACTAGCTGCTGCCAGGAAGAAAGATGGGGGTTTCTACTCCCTGAAGAGTTACAGAAGCTCACTGGGGACAATTCTACCTTGCCCATTGAGGGTCACTATGAGTCAGCATCAGTTCAATGGCAGTGAGTTTTAGTGAGAAAATTTCCATATAAAGGAGAGTATGCATTTGTGTGAGGCTTTTTGTTACTTAGCATATTTTTAATGTTCATGTTATAGTTCAGAATAATTTTAAATGTAAAGATGCAGACAGTACAGAATTCCAGGTGCTCCTCACTTGGATTCCCTATTGGTCATGTTTTTCTGTGGCCCATTGGTCAAAACTATGACACTGACTTCAGTGAATTACTCCAAGCTTATTTTGGATTTCACCTTTTTGTTAATATCTAGCATCTTTGTCCCAGGATTCAATCCAGGTACCACATAGTCTTTAAATGTCATGCCATCTGGGACAGGTTTCTTTTTAGTAGTATTTAAGTCCTTGACAATTTTGAGAAGTACTGATCAATACCTTGTTAGAACCACTGCCACCTGCTGCCACCACGTGAATTCTGACTCAGAAAGCCCCTACATAGTTTTTAAGACAGACCATAAGACAGTTTAATCCTTCTCCCTTGGTTAGCAGCCCAACAATGACTGGCCTAGGAGTGTCCCCCAATTTTGGTTTGATCTTTTCTCCAGGTGCCACAGAGATAGTTTCCTCATCACATCATGTGTGCAAGTTTAGGTTCTGACCCTGTGCATTGTTCAGAGAAACACTGTTAGTTTTGAGACACTGAGTGTTGGAGTACTTTTTGTCAAAGTGAAAGGTGTGTGTGTGTGTGTGTGTGTGTGTGTATCCTGCTGCTAACTCAGGCTAGTCTGCCCCCACAGGGCTGGTGTGGTTAAGTATTGTCTTCAACAGTTCATAATCAGAATGATGTACACAGACCCTTCTACCTTATTTGCCACACTTTTCATTTGACCTACTCTCCTAAAGGTTTATCTGAATACCCCAAGTACTCAGTCCCTCTATTCTGTATATAAATGACCTTTTTACTCTGTGCCCTTTTATTCTATTTAAATGTACATTATAAATTTGGAGGACTTCATGCTTTATTAATATCTTTATGCCTAAAGGAAATGTTTTTGAGATTTCACTCAAACCAGGACATCCTTAGATATTTGAAACTTCATGTCCTTCCCATTTCCCACCTCTGCTGTTAAGTTGTATTAAGCCACAAACCAGCTGGATATATAGCAGAGAAATGGGAGTCCCATCAGGGGATGATTACTAAGAATGGACTCTACTCCAGCATGAGTAGACTTATTTATTTAAAAAACTATCTGAGTTTGGGAAGAATTTAGAATCAAATGTAAGGTTATCGTCCTTGCTTTCCCAGGCACTTGACTACAGTGCTCCAAAATCCCTCAGACTCTTGACCTTGTGATTTTTTTTTTGACCTTGTAATTTCTGAGGGGGTGGGGGCATTCTTTTCACTCCCTTTTTAGCAAATACTGTCAGGTTATACAAGAGGGCAAGTGGAATCTGGCCACAAACTGTTTGAAGCCTCTTTCCATTTAAAATAGTAACCATTGAATTAAAAATAAGAGATACAGGTGCATTCAGTCCACAGTGGGTGATAGCCAATTCTAGAAACTCATTTAGCATTTTGTGCTGAGCCAAGCAGTATTACATTCACATATTCCTAGTAGTAATGAAGAAGTCATGCAGCTAGTTCTAGGTAGGTGGGTGTTCTGTCTGAGGAAAGGCTCTCTCGTGGCACTCTCAGGGACGTATGTTGGGCTGCCAACTGTAAAGCTGGCAGGTCAAACCCATCCGCGTGCTCCAAAGGAGAAAGAAGAGGCCTTTTGTCCCAGGATGCCTTATACAGGGTTGCTAGGACTGGGGTTTGGCGGGGTGGGTAGGAGGTTAGGCCTGAGGAAAATCCTTAGATTACAAATCCCCAAGTACATTAATTCCATTTTCCAAAGTTATTTCAGACATGTAATGCTTTAGCAAAACCACAAAATTTACCCATCTTCGTGGTAATACTGTGGTCAGATTCCTTACGCAAAGAATGTTGCGTTCAAGGGACAAATGGAGCTCTGGGCAGTTCCCCACTGTTGGGTCATTGCTCACTAAGGTTGGTGCAGGTATTTTGCAATTTTTTATTAGGCTAATTATGAAGTGAGGTTCCAAGGGACCATGAAAGACAAAAAAAATGTAGTTAAATCAAGACAGAAAACTCATTAGAGGGTAGGTAAAGCAACTTGGCAAAGGGACTATCATGCCTCATTCTGTGAATTTTGTCCTGTTGCCATTTGGAAATGTTTGCTATGTGAAAAAAGCACTTGGTACTGCGGTGGTAGATTTTTTTAGCATTAATTCTTGTATTTTCATCTTTAGGGCGAACTTTCTGACCAAGTATACAACTACCCAGAGGGCCTAGGAGAAGTGTTGTATAGAGAGCCGTTCGATTTCAACGCTGAGCCACCTTGGGAACCTAGCTGATGATAGGGGGGTTCCATCTCCTAACTTGTCCATGTAAGTATTTTCACTGCAGGGGTGAGGGGTGGGAGGTCCTTGTAAATGAAGTTAGTCTTTTCCAGAACTTGAAATTGTATGTATTCTTTATAGCCCAATATCCATTAAGGCTCTCAAACAAGTTCTAAAATAGCTTAAAGACTTGACCATTATGGGTACTGCTTTATTTATATATTTTGGTCATTCACTTAAAATGCATATTATTTCGATTACATGATAATTGTTAGTTAAATTCATATTGAAAAATAAGTTTCAGGAAATCTTTTTAGTCCAAGTTTTACTATAAGTCAGAGTGATAGTGGTTTGAATTTAAGATCTGGATAATAACTCTTCACAGTCAACCATTTAACTTAATGAAGTATTTAAGCATGATTAGAAAAAAATGTTTAATTACATGTTTTTGATATAATTTATTTGAGGGTATATAAATTTAATTTTTTCCCCTTAAATTTTATTCATTTTGTTGCTGTTGAGAATATGCACAGCAAAGCATAGGCCACTTCAACAGTTTCTGCGTGTACCCTTTAGTGATGGTGGGTTACATTAGAACTATTCTAATCCTCTTTTCTTGAGTTATTCCCCTTAAAGTTTCTATGTAATGTTTCCTGTTGGATTTGTCCATTTGATCCCTTATAAATAGTTCTTTAAAGAGCATAATGCTAAAGATAGACCTTTTTATTAGTTAAGCTAAACTTTTAAGATGACTTCAGGAGATACTTTGATTCCAGGTTTACAGGTTCTCTCAGGGCAACAGTTTCCTGAGTTTCTGCCTTCAGTTTTTCCCTTTTGATGAAGATGTTCGGTAGTGGTGGCTGGGCACCTTCCAGTTGTTCTGGTCTGCTGGCGAAGGAGGCGTTGTTTGTGGAGGGAAACACGTTCCTTCTGCTATTCCTGGAGCTGCCTTGGAGGGCCACGTGTAAACTGTTAAGACCAGAGGTAGAATCGAAGTGCGTGTGCAAAACATGTACATGTAAGGCAGTGAACTGGGGTGTCCTGTGAGAAACCATGACCCTAAACCTCCAAACCAGGGAATCAAGTTTCAGGAAGCTTTTGACTGTACATCAGCAGCCATAATAGCTCCCCGTTTTGTTTATTGTCTTGTCATTAATTGCAAATATGCCTTTTATATAACTTTTGCCAATTAAAATTTTTTGCAGGTCTACAGCTTATTGATAGCAATTATAATAATCAGCTGTGTAACCCAACCTTTAATAAGCTTTGGTCACCATACCATTGCTTTTTCTTGTCTTTTTAAAAAAAATTTAAGTGAGGTAACAATATATGTCCTTTGGTGATTGACTAATTTCACTGACTATAATATCCTTAATTTCTTTTCATACTGCAACATGTATTAAAACTTCTTTTCTTCACTGACTGAGTAGAAAAACATTCTTAAATAGAGCAAATGAAGTTTCTGGTCCACTTTACTCAGTAAACTTAAAATCTAAAATGAGTATGGATATTGAGAAGTTAATCTTAGTTTTTTGTTTGTTTGGTTTTTCTTTTTTTAAATCATTTTATTAGGGGCTCATACAACTCTTATCACAATCCATACATACATCAATTGTGTAAAGCGCATTTGTACATTCATTGCCCTCATCATTCTCAAAACATTTCCTATCCATAATTTTAGTTTTTTATTTTCTAGTTAATGAACACCTTGCCATTTTTGTCTAATATTCCTTCCTCATAAAGTCACTTTTTCAACGAGTGGGAGAACTGGTTGTCAGAGAATTTACTGAGATGATATCTCCCAACATGTTACCTTCCTAATGGATTTTCAAGAGTAGTTTTTGATTATACTTTTCCCCCTCGTGGATTTGAATTTAGAAATAAACTTATGTGCAAAATGTAATGCCACAGTTAACTTTGAATTTGAGTGGCTATATTTATGTGTTTTGTTTTAAAAATTGAGTTACTATTTATAGACATTGATACTGAAACTTGGTGGGGGGTTTTTGTTTTTGTTTTTGGTGTTCAAGTTGAGGTGCTTTTAAGTTGACCAGAGACTTGGGAAGGAATACATTAGAAATTTCATGAGATAACACTGTCCAGTCAATGTTTCTTTGGTCTAACCTTGTTCATTGGGCGCTATCATTTAAAACTGTTGGCTCTACCTAATTCAATGGTTGAACTCTGTAGGATTTGTGGGATTAAGTGGAGTCTGTATGACCAGGTGATGACTTGATTTGTTTTTGATTCTGACTCAGAGTGACCTATAAGGACGGGGAAGACCAAGCATCTTTATATACTTCATGAATGTTGCATTACTGTACATTAAAGAGTTGCCGTTGTCATCACAATCTGTTATTGATCATTTTTCGTTCGTGTGTCCCTTATTATTAGCTCCCCATTGGCCCCCAGCTTTCTCCTGTCATAACTTTTACGGCTCTAGTTACTGTCTAGAATTGTGATCACAATTTCTTTAGCCCTAAACTGCTACAATGATTTCTCTGATTCTTTGAATGGATAGTAATTTTATGCAGCTAGGTCTTTGGGTCACCAGCATTTGCATCACATGGGACAGAAATAGAGCATCCGGCCCTCTTAAACAGGACTCAGATGCCTTATATTACGCATATTATAGAACAACACTGGTGCCACCAGGTCACCACTGAGTCAGTTCTCTTAATTTTTGTAGACAGTTGATCAGTGCATCTGTTGTAGCAAGTCAGCTTAGAGATTGAAACTTTGAAGGACTGAAGCACTTAGTTGCTGTTATAGTCAGGAGTGGATTCTAAGATGGACATTTCAGAACATGTTTCATATTTTTAAGATTGGGTTAAAAGATAAATGTTCTTTTCTAACTTATTGCTTCAAGTAGCATTTTAACTTTGTGCTATATAGAAGTGATATTTCTAATAGTGTTTTCTCTAGGAGATTTGAGAAACTGACATAAGTGGACATAATCATTCTGCCAAATCAAGGAGTATGAAAAATAATTTTTATCATTTTAACACTATTTTTAAATAGTAATATTTTGAAACTCAGAACGCCTAGAGCTTTTTCTAAGAGGAGGTGGGGATGGGAGCCCATAAAATACACTTAAGGATAATGATTAATTTTTGAGGCTCTGGCACCCAGAGTGAATTTTCATTATGCCTGATGCATTTTAAGTTGAATGAAAGTGGTACTTGATACCTTAGCTTTTACGAACCCTCCAGCACTGGGGGTGCAGTGGTTAAGTGCTGGCCTGGAAGCGTGGTGGTTCAGACCAGCCATTAACTGAGGCAGTCCTGCCCTATAGGCTTACTGTGGGCTGGAATGGACTAGATGGCAGACAACATAGGTCCACGTCCTTTATCCACATAATCCCAAATAAACAATACTTGTAAAAAATGTCTTCATAGCTTCCTTGGTTACAATGACTGATGTGACTCAAACTCATTTGGGAACAAAAACATGATTTGAATCTAGGTCGATTTAAAACTCTGTACCTTATCCTGTTTAGTGATAATATTCTTAAATTTTGGTGGATTACTTTGATTACAAATTGCTGGCTCATTTCCTCTTGGAGAGTGTCATGTTTTCTATTACCATTCTAATACCCGAGAAAATCTGATTTCAGACTACCTGGTCTCAAAGATTAGTAAAAAGTGGCATGAGATTTTCAAATCCCAGAAGATAGCAAACCAGTTTGCTCTACTGAACATCCAAATACTGAGATTAATATTCTATGGAGCAAGATTATTTACTTAACTGTAAGCCACTAAAGTAGTCCTGGTAGCTTGGTGGTTATGTGTTGGGCGGCTTAGCCACAGGTCAGCTGCTTAAAACAAACAGCCTGCTCTGCAGGAGAAAGACCAGGCTTTCTTTTCTACTCCCGTAAAGAGTTGCAGTCGAGGAAACCCACTAAAGCTGTTCTACCTGGTCTTTTAGGGTTGCTATGAGTTGGAATCGACTTGATGACAGTGAAAGTTATTTGTTTGTTTCTTTTTTGGCTTTTTTTGGTAAGGGATGGCAGTGAGCTTGCTGTTTTTGTTTGTTTTTTAAGGATTAAACATTGGACTCAATGAAAATGACTTGGGACAGAACATCATGTAATGAGCATGTAACTATGGGAACTCTGAATTGTGGTGCCATAGTTACAAGTGTTTGGTAACTAAAGGTAGACACCAGTGGTTTTGTAAAAGAAAAATACCTGGTAATCTTCTATGAAGGTTATAAACAAGAGAGAGAACCCTATAGGTCAGCTCTCCTCTTGTCATGTAGGGTTCCTGTGAGTTGAAATTGACTTAATGGCGCACCAAAAGCGGAATCTATTATAAAACTATTAGAATTATGCCTATTGGCACAGTGGTTTATACATGTTTGGCTACAAACTGACAGGTCTGTGGTTGGAAGATGTGGCCATCTCCTTAAAAGATTTACAGCCTTGGAAACCCTATGGTGCAATTTCATTCTGTCCTCCCGGGCCCATAGCTTCTGTACAGGTGATTAGGCTTTTTAAATAAAATAACCATATGAATGTTGTTAGCTGCCATCTGTTCATACAACAGAACGAAACATGCCCATTCTGTGCCATCCTCACAGTTGTTAGGTTTGAGCCCATTGTTGCATTCACTGTCAGTGCATAGCCTCTTTTTCATTGACTACGAAACACCATGTCCTTTTCCAGATACATTTCCTGATAACACGTTCAAAGTACATACGATGGAAGTATGTATCACCGTCCTCATTTCGAAGCCTTCTCCTTCCAACACAGACTGCTCGTTCTCTAAGACACCAATCCAGGAAACAGTTCTCTTCCAACCATTACTTCCATTAGTAGATGTTCTGGAAAAGTCATATTGAATTAATTTAGCATACACCTTTTAATGTTGCATCATATGTGGTATGGAAAAGATTCATTTAACTGAGCCATTTAAATGAATTCTTTAATTGAAAAAGACTTAATGTGGTTATCATTAGTAGAGTTATGAATATTTTGTATTTAACTTCATAAGAATGTCAGTGTTTAAAATACGCGATCTGCTGTATATTCTTAGTCATGCCCACTAGGACCTAGGCCCACTGAATTGTGAATCACACGGTTGACAGTTCAAAAAGATAAGGAATCTGCTTCCGTAAAGACTTAAAGGTTTTTAGTGAGCATTTCGCCGCTGTTACTGAGTTGGCCATGGCTATTTGTTTCAGGGTTGTTTTTTTCTCTCCACCTTAAAAGCACTGTAATGCAACTGAATATTTGTCATTTGGCATCTAAGAAAAAAGCATTTAAACTAAAACCTATGTAAGTGGGAGGCTTATTGATAAGTTCTCACATGCTGCTAAGGTTCAGTTGTTATGCGCTATAGTGACCCTATGGGACAAAGCAGAGTATTGTAGGATTTCCTAGGTGGTGATCTTTACAGGAGCTAGGCCTTTTTCCTACAGAGCCTTGGGTGGGTTTGAACTCAATGTCATTCAGTTACTGTATATACTCGAGTATAAGCTGACCCGAATATCAGCCAAAGCACCTGAGTTTACCACATAAATGGCATTTAAAATGTGCTGAAAAACTCGGCTGACACATGAGTGTATACGGTAATTCCCATTATTGTGTCCTATTCTACTGTAATGCTATGGGAAATTCCTGTTTTTGCATTCATAAACATTTACCGTTCATGGCACAATTCTGCTACTATTTTTTATATACTCAAGGGCAGTGCTACTCAGAGGTCTGCTAACTGGCTGGTCCTCAAGGTAAGAAGCTTGTGTGCCAGCATGGGGGTTAGCCAGCTGACATCTTTCAGTAGAAGGTCTTCTGAGGCGCCACCATTAGGCAGTGTGCTGCTCCACATTCTGGCAGCTCTTGCTGAGTGGCAGCTTGAGGAGTGAGCCCTCCTGTGTGTAGTACTTGAGTCTGTTAGGGCATTGATGTCAAAGATTTTTCAAGCAATTTGCTCATTTTTCTTTTTTTTTGGCCTTATTGACCTGCAGGATTTGGATAGCACACACTCTCATTGTATGGATTATTTATCTGGAATCTGTTGTTGTGGTATCTGTGTGGACCATACTACTGTTTCCCCTCAAATAAGACAGTGTCATATTGATTTTGGCTCCCAAAGATGCGCTAGGTCTTATTTTCAGGGAATGTCTAATTTTCCATGAAGAAGAATACGGTACACATTTGTTGTTTATTGTTTTATTAAAAGAGACTTCGCACTTCCTGTCTGCTCCGGCTGCGCTGCAGCCAAAAGTGAGCTGCGCAGCCACTATGGTCCAGAGTTACGGTAGCTTTAAAGGGGGGGCCTTGTTTTTTTGGGGGGGGGCTTATATTTAAGCAAGAGACAAAACTGTAAGGTCTTACTTTTGGGGAAACGGTAGGATACCCAACCCTATTTTTGGTAATGGCTTAGAGCCAGACCCAACAGGCTGATAATCACTGTGAACCTAAATGATAGGTTGATACTATACTACTTATTTAGAGCTGTTTGTAATCCGGGCACCACAGAAGATCCTTCAAGAGCAAGAAAATCAGTTAATAATCTAGAACAACAGTTCTCAACCTGTGGGTTGCAACCCCTTTGGGGGTTGAACAACTCTTTCACAAGGGGTCACCTAAGACCATATTTCTGATGGTCTTAGGAATGGAGACACCACTCTTCTCTCTGTCTCCAGGCGGGTCTGCCCACATGCAGATACACCCACATACCGGGTCACCACACCATGAGGAACTGCTTTAAAGGGTTGCAGCATTAGGAAGGTTGAGAACGACTGAGCTAAAAGGACGGACCATGGTTCTAAAATCACTTACTCAAAAAGCCAGTATTTCAGTATGGATGAACACATGAATAGTAAAAAGGTATATGCTGAACTAAGGAATTCAACTAATTATCTCAAGTCCTGACAATAAAGCACAGCCTTTTATTAGGAAAATCTAAGGAGGAAAAAATACATAGTAGTAGACTCCAGCTACATCTGTCTACATGGATGAACTGAAACTAAAGTTGAGCAAAAGAAGTAAGTCACCAAAAAATATATATAATTACTAGGTAATAAAGGAATGATGATTTTAACAAATGAAACATCTTTTCAATGCACGCGCCCGCCAGCACCTGGGAGCCATGTTCAGAGCTTGTAAGGCACTGAACCTATCGATTTCTACTTGGAACCAAGTCAGCAACACCTAGCGACAACAAACTAAAGGAGAAGGGGAGAATCCAAACAGAATAGTAATTAGATGCATTTGTTTAAAGCAGCGATTCCCACCCCGTGGGTTGCAACCCTTTTCACAGGGGTTGCCCGATTCATAACAGTAGCAAAATTACAGTTATGTAGTAGCAATGAAAGTAACTTTATTGTTGGGGGCCTCATCACAACATGAGGAATTGTTTTAAAGGGTTGCAGCATTAGGAAGGTTGAGAACCAATGGTTTAAAGGGTAACGTTACCTTTGCTGTATTGAAACCAGGAAAGTTAGCTAATACAATCTTCAGACTTAATAGTCAAAGCATTTTTTATAAGGGAGCCTAATTGTTCATTTCCACATGAAAAGCATTTTGTTGTACGTGTCTACTTTTCATTTAGTTTTACAGTGAGGCATTAGTTGCCAACCTTTTTTCCATGATTGTTTTACCATTTTTTCCAACTTAAATGTCTTGTTCTTTTGAAGTGATTCTTCAGCACTCATTGCCATGTTCTTTCTCTAAGACTTTCAACTCGAGTAGTTACTTAGGGTTTGTTTAACCTCATCACCTGAGAAATGAGTATTTACAGGGTTGTGACTATTACTGTCCTCTTGCTTTCAGACTACGGTTCCTCAATTAGTGTAGGGTATGTCTGGTAGGGCTTATTGATTGGTATTGCCAAGCCTCCAGTTCTGGTGTGTAGGTAGCTTCTAGGAAGTACTTTATACTTTTTTTAGTGGCGTAAGCCTTTGCCAAGCCTCAGTGCCGAAACCATCCATCAGAAGGAAGCCTTTTCCTAGGGTTCTTCTGGCCCATTAGTTCTAAAGGCTTTCTGTGTGGTAAGTAACCTTTTTTTTGTTGTTGGAAGTAGGATGCAGAAGTGACTTCCCCTGGCACTGGGTGTAATTTTAAAAGTTGTGAGCTCTTTGCTAAGTCATGAAATGCCTATGTGAAAATAAAACTAGCCCTGTGATCAAGGTAGAGGTGACTTAAGATCATGGTTAGAGTAACTAATAGTGTAAGTTTCCCTTAAGCTCATTTCTGATGAATAAGAGTCCTTTTAGGAAGTGGTTTAATGTGTTACGGTTGGGTTTCCTGCTTAGGTGTTTCTGAAACCGTACTCTCAACCTTTCAGCTCTCCCTGTTCTACTTCCAGGGAGGTCTGCACTTCAGAAACCCAAGACCCACATTCATCCAGCTTGGTGTCTCAAGTGGGCTGTTGCTGCCAGAATTATCTTGTGATTATTTGAGAGATGTATCAGTTTCCTCTGAAGTACAATCAACTGTAGAAGCCTTTGTAGCAGGTGTGTAACAAGGCAAGTTCTCAGCTGCTGCAGCCACGATTCTGGGAGTGGCCCCCTCCCTACATGAGGGCTCCTCGGCCTTGGGAGAAGCGCCAGGGAGCAGGGCTCACTTCTTTGGAGTCTTGTTTGTCGGCTCCTCCTGAGAAACATTTTATTAAAAAACACCAGTGTGAAGGTGCTGCAAAAAGGGATGTTATCCTTTTTACCTAGCTGCAAATCCAAGAGAAACCTTTGAAATGATTGTTATTACAACATTTGTTTGTATTGTGAAATATGCTGAACTTTCCTTCTTAGCCATGTATTGTTCTATAGGAAAATAGCAAAAAGACACGAGTAGATAATTTTGTAGTGTGCATTGATTAAAAAGAATAGCTTTTTACTTAAAGCAGATTTGATTCTAAAGCATTTTGATGAAAAGAATTGAAATTTTACAGAAGGTGATACAAATGGTTAATTTGGGGCTTGCTTAATAGAGGGTGGTAGTTCAACCCACCCCAGAGGCCCGCAGAAGTTAAGACTTGATGATCCACTTGCCTAAAGATTACAGCCTTGGAAACCAGGAAGGGGGAGGGGTGCAACTGTACCCTGCCTGCAAAGGGTTGGAATGACCAGCTCTTGGTTCAGTATGGCCAATAAAGTAAAACTGGAACAGACTGGGATTTTTACCATTTGGGTGCTTGGGGGATGGTAAAATGTACTCTAGCACTGTTTGGGAAGCACTTCACTGTCAACTGCAAGGTTTGGGGAGAGGCATAATTACAGGCCACATCTCTGGGAGACTCAGATGAGGCCTACTGAGCCCTTTCGGGAGCCTGCTGGCATAACATTGGATTTTTACTACAGTTGGAGAGAATGATGCATTCTGAGCAGCCACGTTTGAGCCAGGTACCCTGGCTTTGTACTCAGCCAGCCTAGAGAGGCAGTTGCCCTGCAACATGTGCGCTACCTTTGTTTGCTTAGAGAAGAGGAGTTTCGAACAAGATTTCCACCTGAATTTTTTCCCCTGTTCCAGTTAGGTGTACAGTTGGTTCACAATTAGAAAATATGGGCTTGTTTTGCTTTCACTCATCACACCTGCTGTGGCCGGACCAGTGTGAAGCCCTCCCTAACTAATGACAGCGACTAATACCAACAACATGTCTTAAGCTAATAATATAAACAGTTCAACATACAGCAGCACAGTGTAGTAGGCCATATGTATTGGAACCAGTAAAATCAGCCCCATTTCTGATTATAAAGCATAACATGATGTTGTGTCTGGGCTGTATTTATTGCTACCCAGGAGAGGTTCTGAAAAGGTTACTCATGGTGTTTAAAATGCAGGTGGGTACAAGGGTGCATGTGCTCAGTGTGGCGTATAGTGTAACATTCAAATGGTCCACTCTGTACACAACACCCCACACCTGTACTTCATCTGTCTGCCTAGAATGGGCTACGGGTCCACGGGTCTTTGATCTTTGGTTTAACATTAACTTCACTCTGTAACTTTAATGCCTCTTAAAAACATTTTCACAAAGTATTTCTGAGGCCACCCACTAACTCCCTTTAAATGAGTCTATTCTGACTCACAGCAACCCTACAGGACAGGGTAGAACTGCCCCCGTGGGTTTCCAAGGCAGTACATTTTAACAGGAGCAGAAAGCCACCTCTTTCTCCCGAGGGTAGGGTTAGTGGATTCAAACTGCTGGCTGTGGGGTTAGCAGCAGAACATGTAATTCACTCTGCTACCCAAGCTCCCGATTTCTTTGTTAATTAGTAAGTAATTTACGGTTTAAGTACAGCAGATCTTTTAAAATGAAAGATTCCTTGGGACGTCATTTTCAACTGCTTTTTAGGGCTCCTTCAGTGAAATTGGGGTACAGTATTGGAAGGAGGACAGACTCAACAGCTTACTTTCATTCACCAGATTGCTGTCTCTTACTTGCTGGAAATAAGACTTCCAAGTGATAATTCATTTCAAGGATTTCTTGGTTTTAACATGGATCTGAAAGCTTGTCTCCTAGAGGGATGTGTGTTTTCTAGTTTCTTCTTAGGGTTTACAGTGTTTCTGGGCATGGTGTTTGCTTTTAACAGTAACTGATAGTTGAACACTTGTATTTGCATGTGAGCCACTTGTCTTTCAGGGTTATGGGGGTCCATTTTAGAATGGACATTCATTTTCAAGTATGGTAAAAATTCCTTGTTCACCACCACACCCAAAGTTAAGAATTCTCTGCTTTAAGGATGTGAGGGCTTATGTCAGCTTATGAGCACTACTATGGGCTAGCTAGGAATTAATGACACTCTATCCAGGCCTTTAGTAAACTTCTGAAAAGATTTTTCTGAAGCTCACTCTCTAAGAATATATTTAAAATTATTTGAAGGGTTAGTAAAGTTATCTTAACAGTACCTTTTATATACATATAGACTTTATTAGTTGTTTTTTTTTAATTGGAGACCATCTTTATTAGAAACAATTACATTGAAACAAGCATTGCTTATTAAATTCCTGTCCTCGGGAGCTGGTCCTAAGATAGAATCAAATGATTGTATTTTTGTTTAGATTCCCAGCAAAGATTCCTGTTTTTGTTTAAGTTTAAGGTGCTTAGGACCCTATCGATCTCTCTCTCTTTAAAATTAATCATTTTATTGAGGGGCTCTTATAACAATCCATCATTCAGTTGTATTAAGCACACTTTACATATGTTGCCATCAACATTTCCAAAACATTTTCTTTCTACTTGAACCTTTGGTGTCAGCTCCTCTTTTCCCCCCACCCTCCCCAACCCTAGTATTGGTTTTAATAAGCGGTTGTGCTCTGTGTCATTAAGTAGTACATGTATACTACCAATTTTAGGGTTTCAGATGTGTCAAAGCCTTTTTGTCAAGTACTCTCAAAGGAGGTGAAGAGTTCTATTTTTAAAGAAAAATAGCCTCTTCACAGGCAGTGTATTCTCCCTTTAGTGCAGGCTATGTTTTAATTCATTGTTTGTCAGCTCTTTTAGCTTGGTCTTTTACTGATGGATGAGAAAGCCTAGTCTGTAGGGTTGAAAAGGATGCCACTGGCTGTCCGGAGGAGCTTTACTGAAAAAGAGGGACATGGGAACTTGGAGATGTTTTCTTCTTCTTCAATGCCCAGGGGCACTAGGAGCCCAACCACATTGAGCTCCTAAACTCAAGGTGTTGGCAGTTAGAAAATGCGTCCTACTCCCGTTAGTAGTTCACAAGCTCGGAAATGCACAGTCCCACCCAGTCCTGGAGGGTTGCTGTTAGTCTGAATTGACTTCATGGCAATTAGGTGTGTGTTTTTTAAATCATTTTATTGGGGGCTCATACAACTCTTATCACAATCCATACATCCATCAATTGTGTCAACCACATTTGTACATTCGTTGCCCTCATTCTCAAAATCTTTGAGGTTTGTTTTTGTTTTTTGTGGTATTGGTGGAATTCTCTGAGTGGTACAAATAGTAAATACACTTGGCTGTGAACTAAAAGGTTGAAGGTTTAAATCTGCCCAAAGGAGCCTAGAAGAAAGGGCTGGCTAACCTAGCTCAGACAAATCAGCTATTAGCAACCCAGTGGAGTGTGGTTTTACTCTTGACCCGTGTGGGGCAGGAGTCACAGTGGACTGGGCAGCAGCTGGGGTGAGTTAACTGGTGTGATTATGGTAGATGGCACTGGTGTGTGCTTTCATGCATCATATTTATTGCATGTAACCGTTCCATAAAGTTAATGTAAAAATAAAACTTCCAATTTGACATTTAAATATCAGAATTTGGCTAAATCAAAAAAGGGAGTAGCAAGGAAGGTTAAGTATAAAAGCATGAAGTTTAGAGTCTTGGAAAGAAAGGTAGAGAGGCTTATGAATAAGTCTTTCCAGACCACACATGAATAAACCCAGGAGAGTTACCAGCATCTACGGTAATTTACATATCTTAGAGATAATTTGGTAAGAGGATGTGATAAAGTTTTGTTACAGAGATTGAGGAACTTGTGCTTGTTTCTCTTTAAAAAAAAAACCCCAAACCTAGGTTTTTTAGGCCTAGGATATTGGGAGTCAGACTTATCATTTTGCTTCAAGTAAACACTTGGCCCAGCATCTCTAGCAATAGACTAATTTCAGGCCATTTATTTGCTATGTGACCACGCTTTATGATGCTTTCTTTTCACCTGTAGTAAAAGGATTGTGGTTTTAAGAGATGGAAAATATTGACTATTAGATTAGAGCTACTTTAGCAGGCAGTGAAAGTTAGACCTATCAGATATTTTTTGAAAGTAACTGGGAAATCTCTTTGCTTATGGCTATAGTATTATGGAAAAAACTCTTGAGGAATGCAGGCATTCTACAGATAACACCGTACCCCTCTGGTCCTCTCTTGGGGCTGCTCCTTAGCAGAGGAGAGGGTCTCCCAAAGTTTGCCCCCTACTATGTTGAATGAAAAAGGTTTCCCCTCCCCTGGGAGCATGGGGGGTGAGTCCTCTGGTCTGAGGATTCCCCCTGGAAGAGATACTGTCCCCTAGTCAAACCTCCCACCCTTCCAGGCCCTAGGGGACTCAAGGAGGTAGGTGGAGTGGGGTGTTATTGAATTTAACAGAAATGCATGCATGCCTTTTGCATTTGTTTTTCGATGAGTCTCTTGATCTTTCCTATTGCTCCTAATGATCAGGTGACTTTTGCCTAAAATCAGTATTTTAACTGTAATTACATTGTTGAAAACAAAACGTGTACCCTTTTAAGTTGGCTTCTGGGCACATCGTTCAATTGGTCCAAGTATAACAACCTGTAGAAACTGTTGAACCTATGATTGGACTTTCCTGTATGAAGGTAAAGGACTTGTATATGGACACAGCTAAACTGACTCCTCAGTTTCTACCATAACATGAAAAAAAAAACTGAGTTGAACATAGCTGGCTTCTCAGGGAAGTGCTTTCAAAGTTGACACTTTGAGAAGCGATTGGTACCGGATAGCAGTGACTGCTAATCTGTGGGGAAGATAACGATACGGCATCAGGGAAGAAATGCCGTAGTTGCTTCGTTTTAGAGGACATTCAAACAGTATAAGCCAGGAATCTTAAACATTTCATATTGTGATGGTTTAAACATGAGTTGTCAGTTAAGTATACTAATAAGTTGTTTAAATATGCTTTAAATAGATGGTTTTTAAAAATCAATGTCTAAAGTAACCAAAAACTGAACCAACTCCTTTTTCTCTGTGTCATTATGATATGAAGTGGAGGGTGCATGATCTGCAGGGGGAAGCTACTCTATTGAGAAGATGGATTGGAACTAACCTGATGCTTTTAAAAAATTACTTTTTAGTTATAGATTCAAAATATAAATATATACAGGAACCTAATTTACACCTAGTTCCAATTATAATGATTTTTTTTTTTTTGTTTCTACCAAATGACATTTGAATTGTTCTGAGCTAGCTGATAATATATATGCTGGCTGTTTTTACTTATGTGTGCTATACATGTATATAGGTTTTTTGTTATGTACCTGAAGGGGCCTGTAAAAGCAGGTGCCCGCACTGACTATAGGGCAAATGTTTTTAACTGCTAGGGGTTTTGGAGTATTTTTTCTGAAAAGGGATAGTAGACCAAATACTTTTGGGAACTTCAGCTTTACACAGCTTGAGAAAAATGAAGCTTAGAGAAATGGACTTGGAATACGCAGGTATTACACGGCATACCTAGAACCAGGTCTGGTTCACTAAATCCAGTCACTTCATAAAAGAATCTGTACTACCAACTCCATGCAGCTAGTTCTACTTTGTGTAGACCTATGTAGTCTTTATCAAAGCTCTCCTCCACCCCACCCACATACCATTGCACCATCATTTATATTGGTGAGTTTTTACTTTTTGTTGGAAACAAAACAAAATCATGTTATTTTTGAATTAATTTTCTGCTATTTCTTGCAGTATGTGGTGGGGCTGGTATATTGAAGTTCAGATCAATAGTTTTGTTTCTTGGCAACAGCTAATTTCACTATCTTGACACTACTAGGAAACAAGCACAAAACAAAATGTGAATGGTACAGGCTATCTGCAACTATAAACCGTGTGATTACATTCTCAAAAACAACAACATAGTATTTTAAATGTATCAAACATGCATTTTTAGTCACTTTTAAGTGGGCATTAAAAAGAATGCTTATCACCATTAAAGCCTGCAGAGATGTCTGTTAGGCACCCAGCACACTTTCATGGCCGACTCAGTGGTTAATGGTAACTATTGAAGTAATACATACTTTGCTGAAACTTCTCTTTTGACAGTTTGTTGCATATTCTAAGGACCCAGACATAAGGCTTGGTGGCCCGTCTCTTGTTTTTCTTGGTTTATGACTTTCGGCTTTGTGGAATACGGCTGAGATGAAAGGATTTATCGACGATGCAAACTACTCCGTTGGCCTGTTGGATGAAGGAACAAACCTTGGAGATGTTATTGATAACTATGTTAATGAACATACCCTGGTAAGTTGCTACCTTTATCCTTGCTGAATCTTGAGTGCTTTGTTAGCTTCTAACAGGACTCCTACTTTCCAGTCCTGTCTCTCCTACACTTTTGTTCCCACAAAATATCATTTTCATATCCTCTCTTGCTTTTCAAAGAATATCTGAGTGTGTCCTGCTTGCTGAATAAGATTATGCTGTGCCATTTAAAATTGAGTAAGAATTCCCTGGCCAACAAAGCTATTTTTCTGATCCTAAAAAAGCCACAAATTTTAAATCACACACCTCTCTAAAGCTTTATTAAAAGTCCATTTCTTTTCCTTTGAGTGAACATCTCTGTTCTTATTCAGATGGATCTTAACACATGGTTCACACTGTGTTTATTTTACTCTGCCTTCTCTGCACACAGGTTACTGACTTTGTCTCCTTACATGTGAATTCCTAGTGAAGTTACTTCTCATCTTTTGTTGCAATGCATAATGGAGAGCTGTAGCTTGATTTGTTTAGTGTGCATCATTGTCTTTCTGAGGCTTTGTCCTGAACTGCCAAAAATGGGTATCTATTTTAAACAATGGCAAAGAGGAAGATGGAAGGAAATAGACATTCTTCTTCCCCATATTATCAAAAAGTAAAGTTGATGGATTTGATCCTGAAATAAGTCGTATTATTGTCATTGAATTGATTGACCCATAGAGACCCTATGTACAACAGAATGAAGCACTGCATACCCCTGTGCTATCTTCACAGTGGGCCTGAACCCACTGATGCAGCCACTGTCAGTCCATCTCTTTGAGGACCTTCCACTTTACCACGTATGTTGTCCTTCTCCAGGGTCTGGTCTCTCCTGATAGCATGTCCAAAGTATGTAAAATGAACTTCCATTCTTGCCTCTAAGGAGCATTCTTGTGTGTTACTTGAAAGAAGGGTTGTTCTTTTAGCATCTGATGGTACTTGCAATATTCTCCAGCACCACAAAATTCAAAAAGTCTTAGTAATTGATTTTTCTTTAAGGAGAAAGTATTTTAAGAGTCAGAAAAAGTCAAATATAAAAAGGAAAGACAGGCATGTGTGGGATTTCAGATCTAGCTTAGTTCTTCCGGTAAGCTCTAGTTTAGTCGCATGTCTACATGTTCATGTGGCTCATGTGTGGAGGGTGCCTCTTTTTAGTTATGGACTAATCTAATTTTCAGTGGCTCTTTGATCCTGTATCTCTCTCTTTGTGACCATATAGACAGGAAAAAATGCCTTCTTCGTGGGAGATCTTGGAAAGATTGTGAAGAAGCACAGTCAGTGGCAGAATGCGGTGGCTCAGATAAAGCCATTCTACACGGTGAAGTGCAACTCCACTGCAGCTGTGCTGGAGATCCTGGCAGCCCTTGGAACTGGATTTGCTTGCTCTAGTAAAGTAAGTATCTTTTTTATTGACGCTGACCCAGTGGTTCTCAACCTTCCTCATGCCACGACCCTTTCATAAAGCAGTTCCTCGTGTTGTGGTGACCCCAACCATAAAATTATTTTCATTGCTACATCATAGCTGTAATTTTGCAACTGTTATGAATCATAATGCAAATATATGATATGCAGGATGTATTTTCGTTGTTACAAATTGAACATAATTAAAGCATAGTGATTAATCACAAAAAATGTGTAATCAGATAATTTGAAATATTTGTTTCTAATTCCAAATGAATGAAATTTTGTCTTGAAGTATGGTATAGCATGGGTAACAATCTTAATATAACAACAGTAAACTACATTGTTACATTTTGCGACAGTGTACGTAAAAAGCCAACTTTAGTATGAAGATTGAGATAGCTTCTTTCTCACTGGATCAGCCTATTTGCATGTGGGCAGACTGCCCGGAGACGATAGAGGAGCCCTGTCTCAGTTCCTAAAACCATTGGAAATATGTGTTTTCCGGTGGTCTTAGGTGACCACCCTGTGAAAGGGTCGTTCGACCCACAGGTTGAGAACTGCTGCACTAAACTGCTTCCCTCCACAGAAGCAGGAAAATGAGTGAACATTTTGACTTTTTGGTATGGTTTTAAAAACTGTTTCAATATGTAATCTAATCTTGGGAATTTATAAACCTTGTGCATTTATTAATGAAAAGGAAATTCCAATTAGGTGGAGCTTTGGAAATCTTTAGTTCTCATATTAGGGCTAACTCTAAAGCACATTCTTTTGTTGTAGTTAATATTCTAAGTGCAGAGATTTCTCTGTTGGTGATTGCCTTTCAAAATGTCCGATAAGGTTTTTACTGTAGAGTATGAAGAATATAGGAATGTGAACTGTGAAATTAACTAATAGTAATTTAACAAAAATAAAATACCATACTTTATGAATAATTAATGGGAAATTTCCCTTATTCTTTTATAAATATTATTTTCACAGAATGAAATGGCTTTAGTGCAAGAATTGGGTGTATCTCCAGAAAACATTATTTATATAAGTCCCTGTAAGCAAGTGTCTCAGATAAAGTATGCAGCAAAAGTGGGCGTGAATATCATGACATGTGACAATGATGTTGAATTGAAGAAAATTGCACGTAATCATCCAAATGCCAAGTAAGTACAAGCTCCCAAGAATATATTCTCTTACTGCTTAGGGGGGTGGGGTTCTCTTACCTGGAGAAAAAGGTCACAGAAGGTAGGGGAGTGGTGTGTATTGTACTCATGATTAAAGCATAGCTTCCTTTTCCTAATTACATACCACCTAGGTTATTGCCAAGGAGCCCTGGTGACGTGTAGTGGTTACATGTTGGGCTGCAAACCACCAGGTCAGCAGTTTGAAACCACCAGCTGCTCCAAGGGAGAAAGGTGTGGCCATCTACTCCCATAAAGAGCTGCAGTCTCAGAAACTCATAGAAACAGTTCCACCCTATCTATTGGGTTGCTATGCATCGCCACCGACCCGATGGCAATGAGTTTGGTTTTGGTATTTTGATAGTGTATTAGTCTGGGTAAACTAGGGAACAAATCCATGGAAACTCATTTGTGTAAGAGAGAGTTTTATATAAAGGCTAAGTGTACAATAAGAAAGCATCCCAACCCAGTGCTGTCCAAGCTCTTAAGTCCACTATTAGCCCATATGTCCAACACCGATCTACAAAGTTGTCCTCCATCTCACAAAACACACACTATGACACTGACTGCAGGAGGAAAGCTGAATCAGTGAGTGTGTAAGCATCTCAGCGCTGGCAGGGGTCTCCACTCGGCTGCTCCAGCACCCAGGGCTGCATCGGAATAGGTCCATGTGGCTTCTCCTCAGGGATGTCTCGCAGGAAGTGGGCCTTGCCAGCTTAATCAGAGAACTGGCTAAGGCAGTTGCACCCTGGTCTGACCATCAGAGAGCAAGAGACCCAAAAACTAGAAAGGCGAGGCTCACCGAGCCATTTATCTTTCCGCTCTTCAGTTAATCCCATATGTGTTTATCAGCCAGGTTGGCACAATAAACCCTAACTATCTCAGATATTTAAATACATGCCTATATGGAAAATACATTTTCCTATAGCATTTTGTTGGTCTTTAACTTTGGATAAAATATAGTTTTAGATGAAAGGTTTATACTTCAAAAGGAAGAAATTTGGTTCTTGTGATCCCAAATTGGGGCCACAACCATAATTCTATGAGTAAGCTAGTTCTCAAGATCTTTGGCATATTAGAAATGGGTCAGCTGTTAGTGGCTAGCTGGAGGATTTCATTCATCCTTGGCTTTATTTCTCACCCGATACTTGGTGACAATATTTTAGATCTAGTTAGTAAGATAAAGGGTTTTTTACTTAATGCTTTTTAAGGTTTCTTTTATGAGCCCCTTCTCACCCAAAACACTGAGGTAGAATCATGGACCCATGTTAAGAGGACTTTTTTAATATACAGAAAGTATATTAAATTTTGTCATTTTAATTTTATCAGTTCAATATAATTTTATTATTTCTTACTGAAGATGCATACCATTACCATATTACCCTGGTATGGCTAAAATTTCATTACTGACTTTGCTAATAGTTTTTTAGGAACTTATCCTGGTAAGTGTGATTGTCTGGGAAACCTTTGCTTCGATAGTGGTTTTTGCTCGTAGGGAACCACATTTGTTTCAGGAAAATCTTCCTGAGCTCTGCCCTATGAAAGTATCGGCAATGGTTAGTTAGGTCTGTCAGCTGCTAACCAGGAGGCTGATGGTTTATACCCACGCAGTGGCTACACAGGAGAAAGGCCAGGTCTTCGAAATCTCATCTAGAGCACCCTCTGGGGGGGAATTTCCTGTGACGTGTGTGGGGTTGCCCCCGGAGTCAAAAGCTAACTCAAAGGTATATGAGGACCTAATTCCAGGAACCCAAAAGGAAAGCGAATTTTGAGAATGATGAGGGCAACAAATGTATAAGTGTGCTTTACACAATTGATGTATGTATGGATTGTGATGAATTGAATTGGGCCCCAATAAATGATTTTTTTTTTTTTTTTAAGGTATTTGGTAACAATGAGTTAGTTTGTAAATGCAATGGTTTGGTCTTTATAGACCAGGTCTACTTTTAGGTAGACTTGCTGTCTTTCTAAGAAAGGCAGCATTTGTATATTTGTAGCTTCCAGTGGTTTTTGAATACAAGACTCCTCTTCCATTTAGTCTTGGTTGTCATCTTTTTGAGGGACGTCGCAAATAGATGACAATCTGTTGTCAGCTGCTAGTTAGGCTTTCATAAATCTTCTCTGTTTCGTGTCCTTTCTAGTTAGAAGTCTGCTGGATGTAAGAGATTCAGTGGAAATTGGAGCGCTAGCTAGAAGTATTTGGGAGATTTAAAGCCCTGATATTTTCATTGAAAGACAGTGATGGCGTTGCTATTCAATCAGTCTTTCTGGGTGAACTTATTGACTAATGGACTTCATTGCAGAGCCCAACCGACTCTTGCTGCCACAACAGTCTTAACTTGCTGCGTTCTCCAAATTCCCTACCTCTTGTGAGCGTCATGCTGTAGGCCCTAATTGCTAGTTTTTTCTCTATACAGGATTGTTTTTCATTAGGGTCACTTGATTCATCCGTCGCTGGATTGGAGCAACATAATCAACAAACACCCTTCTGCAGTCTTCAGGCTTCACATGTGCTGATGATGATGTAAACCCACTCTGCCCCAATCATCTTCCCCTTCTCTTAGGGTCTTACTGCATATTGCAACAGAAGATAGTATTGGAGGTGAAGAGGGTAGTATGAAGTTTGGCACTTCATTGAAGAACTGTAGGCATCTCTTGGAATGTGCTAAGGAACTTGATGTCCAAATAATTGGGGTTAAGTGAGTATTCATTTTAAACTTGATTTTTTTGTGGAGATAATTTCAGAATGACTTAAATTTTTAACTGCATGGAATTTAATAAATTTAGTTTCTCTTCCATTTTTTGTATGGGTATGTGTGTTTATGTATAGGTTTTGGTTATTGGCTCTCCTGTGGCCTTTGAAGAAAAACAATATAGCATGCTTATTAATCTTTCATACTGTTTGAAGAGACAAAACAGTAAATATTATTTCCTCTAGGTTGGTGCAGAGTAACTTAAGTTAAATCCTTTTAATGGGTAGAATTTAAATACTAAAATGCCACTTGACTTCTCGTTTGTTGTAGATATCATTTCCTTTCTCATTCCAAGAATATTTCTCAATAAGTCCATAGCCTTTGTATTATCCTCTCGGTTTCATACGTTAGAGAGCTAAGCCCTAGAGAAATTTAATCATTTAAATCTCCTCAGGACTAGTAATGAGAGAGCTTCATATTTTTTGAGTTAACAATCCATTGCTAGTCAACAACTGATAGTTTCCAAAGAGATATATATTGGGTTCATTGGGGGTCTGAGAAAGCATTTTATTTACTTCTAAATGGTTTTATTGACATGGTTTGCATATGCTATCCTTATATAGACCAGTGGTATCAACAAGAGGTGGACAATCTGCAAGCATCACCACAAAAAATTTAAGAACATTTCCCCTCTTGTATTTATGCGCTCCCCATTTCCCTCCAGTTCCCCACCTCTCACCCATACCCCCAGTAAGCCCTGAATGTAAGTTAACTCTCTATAGCTGCACTCAGCCCAGACTGGAAAAGAAACAGACCAAACAACAACCCCGGAAACAACAAAACAGCAGGAGGTATTAAAAACCAGGATAGATTCAAAATGGGAGGGAGATCAAATGATTAGGTATCACATTTTAACTTAATTATGTCAACCATAATCAATTTTACGTTATTCTGTCATAGCCAGGCTGTTCACATCCCCTGACTGTGGTAGAGGTTTCACCAAAGGTGTAATCCATGTAGGGACCTGCAGATTTTGGGGTCCCGCTGTCATCCAGTGCCTTTTGCGAATCAGATGTTCACAATTTACGCTCGGATACCATTCCCTCCTGCGTTGGATTTCCTTACTCGTCCTTTTATCACACAGGCTGGTGTGCTCCTTCCATGTGGACTTAGTTGTCGCCTCGCTTGATGTTTATGGTTGCTTGTTTAAAAACAAGCCCTGGAGATCCCAGATGCTATTCTTTATCTTTGCTTGCTCAAGTCCCCAAATCACAGGCGTGCAGAGCAAAAGATCTTGAAAGAGTACCATCTGTTTTCTTCCACACTGTTTTGGTGTAGCATCCATATCTTCAGTGGTCTTTTAATGAGGCCAGTCATCAAGCAGGGCTATCTCATAGGAACTAAATGTTTTTAGATTGGGACTAGAATTAAGTGTATGCACCAAATCCACCCACAAATCCATGGTTTATACATACATCTCTGGTTGACTTTAGAGGCCACTATTATGACCCCAGTTCTAGGTTACAAATCAGGGTAGACTGGACTATGTTCACTGGTACAAATAGGAGCTCTCACACATGGAATCCAGGACCGATAAACCCCTTAATGAGAATAGCAGTACCATGAGGGTAGGGAAAGGTGAGGGAGAAAGGGGGATCCAATCTCAATGATTGGTGTATAACCCCCACCCTGAATGGACAAACCACAAAAACAAGGGTAAAGGGAGACAGTGGACAGTGTAAGATATGAATATAATAGTAATTTGTAATTTATCAAGGGTTCACGAGAGTCGCAAGGGGGAAAAGCGCTGATACCAAAGGCGCAAGTAGAAAGAAAAAATGTTTTGAAAGTGATGATGGCAACATGTACAAATGTGCCTGATTGATACAATGGATGTATGGATTATTACAAGAGCTGTAAGAGCCCCCAATAAAATGATTTATAAAAAAACAAAACAACCCCGAAGAGGGACTAAGAACAACCTAGTGTCACTTGCTGTGTGAAGACCTACATTCTGAAAGCTTTCTTTGATAAGATAAATTTTTTATTTCAACCGTAGTGACTCAATTTCATAGAATTTTATAGTTTACCTAAACATTTTCTTTTGGCTTTTCTAAAAAAGAGGCAAGAGGCTAGAGCTTCTAGTGCTCTATCATGTGAATATGTAAGTTGTCCAGATGGTGAACAATAATTGATGATAACTGTAAGAAAGGCTTGCTTTAAATGTGCTGTCTTGTTTCTTCCAGATTTCATGTTTCGAGTGCTTGCAAAGAATCTCAAGTATATGTCCATGCCCTATCTGATGCTCGATGTGTGTTTGACATGGCTGTAAGTCCTTAAATCAGTATGGTAAACCAGGGGACTAAGATGAAGATTTGATGTTTTCCACATTTTTCTGCCTATTTTGACACATAGCTTACTTTCTGTTGGGAGAAAGCTGAAGCTTTCTACTCCCATAAACAGTTACACTCTCCGGACCCTGCCTTACTGAGTCACTGTGAGTCGGCATTGACTGGATGGCAGCGAGTTGGCTCTTTGGTTTTATGTCTGTCACATAGTGTAAGTAGGTGAGACAGCGAGTGTAGTAGTTAATTTGCATATGTCTATAGGTCACAGATTGAAGCATAATAAATACTAAATTATGTTTATAATAAAAATCGATGCAAAAGATGCATAATATTGTATTGTAATAATTAAGAACTTACACTAAAAGACAGACTAGAGTAAGTTGACACCCCTGTTTAGACCCAGGGGATAGGAAAAAGGGGGTTCCCAATGTCCGTAGGACTATCATAATTTGGCAAAACATTACAAGTTTGTTTTTCATCTTTAGGGAGAATTTGGCTTTCAGATGAGCATATTAGACATTGGTGGAGGCTTCACAGGAACTGAATTTCAGTTGGAAGAGGTAAGCTTTGTTCGGTGAGTAGATGTGACAGACTAATGGATCTCTGCCACTTGGGTGGTCGAAGTGTAGACTAGGTTATTCATCACAGTGGCAGCGATGTCAGGCAAGCTAAAGCCTGCATTAGCTCTTTAACATTTTATGCTAAGAAGATAACAAGACCGTAAGGCCTAACTTTTATTTTTGTCTCCGTTTCATTCTGTAATGTCTAGGAAGTACTATTTTGCTGAAAATTTGCCGCCTCTGTTGCTATCATTTATTTGCACATAGGAAAAATAATTTCCAGGTTATGTGCTCTTGAAATTTATATGTATTTTAACATTAATGCCACTCTGAAGCTTATAGTAACCTGATGAACTTGAAACTATTTGATTGCTTAAAGATAACTTTCTAAATAGCTAAAATTTTCATGTTCTATAAAACCTACTCAGTCCTAGAAAACATACTAGCTGTCAATGTGTTCATGTTGAGAATTATTTAATTCACTATTGATCCTAACCTGGGTTGTAAATCTGCAGGTGAATCATGTTATTAGCCCTTTATTGGATGTCTACTTTCCGGAAGGATCTGGGATTAAGATCATCTCAGAGCCTGGAAGCTACTATGTGTCTTCTGCATTTACACTTGCAGTTAATATCATTGCAAAGAAAGCTGTTGAAAGCGATAAATTCCCCTCTGGAGGTAAGTTACAAAGGTCTGTAGTTTTGTTTTGGTTAGTGGCAAATTCGAATTACTGTGGAGATGAATTTATCAGAAATAAACTTCCCCAGGTGATTTCTTAATCCTTGTTAAGAACCATGGGTCTACTATCATTTCTCTGTTCCCTTTTCCCAGGCAGAAAAATCTATTCAATTTTATTACCCTTCTGACCCATTTCAGAGGATCACTGGTGGCGTGTTGTGCTGTGATCTGCAAGGTCCGCACTTTGAAACCACCAGCCTCTCTCCAGGAGAAGACCAGGGCTTTCTACTCCCCCAGAGAATGATAGTCTTGGAAACTCACAGGGGCGGTTCTACCCTTTCTGACAGTGTCCCGTTACTGCTCAGTGGCAGTACGTTTGGTCTGATTTTGGCTTTGAATCTATCTTTGGTCAAACAAGCAAAAAGGGCCCTTCACAGTTTGTTTCTTAGAGACCAGTATCTGTATTTGCCTTTGAAAATTTGCAAGAATACAAGGAAAGTCCTTTCAGTCTTTACCCAAATGTTCTCCATTTGCTCCACTTGTTTTGTCAGTCTCTATATGTAGATAAAGAGTTTCTCTCTCCTGAGCTATTTGAGAGCAGGTAGTAGGTTGGTCCCTTTGGTTGCTTTCCCCAAGAACAATGATAGAATAATTATCCTTAAATAAGTCGGATGTTTATTAAAGATACACTACTGAACTACGGCTTACTGGAAAATTGTCCATTTCCTCAACTTCATCCTTTTAAAGCTTTTCATAGTTTGTTCAGGGTCCAATATAGCCCACAATTTACATTTAACTGTTCTTTAATCTGGAAATAGCTTCTCAGATTGCAAATTGATTAAAATAGAAGTTTTGTAAAATATCTGTTTGGGTTTGTTTACTAGTTCCTTCGGGTTAGATTTTATTTTGGCCAGAAGGCCACTGAGGTGATGTTTATCATTCTTAGTGCATTGTGTTCAGAAGCATGTAACGGGCTGTTCCTCTTGTGTTTTGTTTATATTAGTTTAAACTCAGAGTTCCTTAATTTAATGTAGAGTATGATCTATTATTTTATTACCCCGTGTATACTCGAGTATAAGCCAACCCGAATATCAGCCGAGGCACCTAATTTTACCATTAAAAATGTGCTGAAAACGCAGCTTATACACGAGTATATGTATAGTTATTTCAAACTTTCATTTCTTTAACTTGGTCCATTTGATGTGGACTGCTTACTGGTATAGCAGGATGTTCCAGGCTCATGTCTCTGAGTATGGTGAAATTATGTTAACATGCTCTGCTGCATCAATGGGAGGCTTAGAGGCTCACGTTAATTCCAGTGCCTAAAAAGGAAGACCTGGCAATATATTTTCTTTTTAAAAAAAACACACCAGCCACTGAGAAACCCTATGGAGCACAGTTCCAATCATGGGTCAGAATTGGCTCAGTAATAGGTGGTTTGATTTTTATATTAAATTCATGAGTTTATACAGATAGCTAGCTCTTTACCTTTTTCCACATTTGTAACGCTTTTCCCTAAATGTAAGAAATCTAGTTTGTAGTATCCTCACTATTTCAGTTGTTTAAATCCAGAACACATAGATGGTGATTTTCAGAATTGCTGATCCACTTCGCTACAAAGGGCAAACCTGAAGCAAAGTGAAGGAAGTTTGTTTCTGTGCTTTTTGGTTGTTTTTAAGATAATGCCTACATATAGTGAACCTAATAATGTATATTTGAGTCTTGATATACCTTCACTGGGTTTTTTGGGAGGGGGGTTTATTATTTTAATTTGCATTTACTGATAATTTTCATCTACTCATTGGTCATTATCTTCCTTTGCTGAAATGTGCACTCAATTCTTAATTCAAACTAAGAGATATGTCAGTATTTTTCATCAAGTTCAATATGTTAAGACATTTGAAAACTAAAGTAATTCTATAAATAATATATGAATTTACATTTACTATAAATTCATCTCCCCCCCCCCCCCAGTAGAAAAAACCGGAAGTGATGAACCAGCCTTTATGTATTATATGAATGATGGTGTTTATGGTTCTTTTGCAAGTAAACTGTCTGAGGACTTAAATACCATTCCAGAGGTTCACAAGGCAAGTGACATTTTATAAACAGAGCCATTATCTTAATATGCATCCACATTTTGGGGGGATGGGGAAAGATCACCATTTTTGATGGGTTAGTGCTCTCCACTAAATCTCTTTGAACTGGTGGCACCACTGAGGCTTTAAGAATGCCCCTGCCCCTATAGGCCTTTCTTTGATCTACTGGATCAGAAGTAATGAAGTTTTATCTACAAATTTTTGCATATGCTCGAGTAAATAATTATGTTTGTGCAAACCTTTTCTTACCCTACAGAAATACAAGGACGATGAGCCTCTGTTTACAAGCAGCCTTTGGGGTCCATCCTGTGATGAGCTTGATCAGATTGTGGAAAGCTGTCTTCTTCCTGAGCTGAATGTGGGAGATTGGCTTATCTTTGATAACATGGGAGCAGATTCTTTCCATGAACCATCTGCTTTTAATGATTTTCAGAGGCCAGCTATTTATTACATGATGTCATTTAGTGATTGGTAAGTTGATGATTTTTGTCTTTAGGCCTTAACAGTAAGGTATGCCATTCTAAGAGTTGTTGGACATTATTTTTATTTCATTGTCCATTTGTTACGTGGTTGTGGTAGTGCTTGCTAAATCACACTACTGTTTTCTCGGTAGGTATGAGATGCAAGATGCTGGAATTACGTCAGACACAGTGATGAAGAACTTCTTCTTTGTGCCTTCTTGCATTCAGTTGAACCAAGAAGACAGCTTTTCTACTGATGCTTAAGCAGGCATTAGCAACTTCTTTAGATCTGAGGTTGCAGGCTGCGCTTGTCTGGTCAACATTCCAGTGGGGTGGGGTGGGGGTGGGCAGAAATGGAACCAGTCTTATTCTGTTAATTCTCTTGAAAACAAAACTATTAGTGAAAGCTGTTTGGGACCAGACAAAATCTGCTTTCAATTATAATTCATGGGGCTAATGGGAGATTTAGATACTGTATCCAGATTTAAATTTACCATTTTGCCCTACCCCTAAGCATTTAAAATAAAATATGCAACAAAATGGATGACTTAGTGGAGATGGAAGCCCATGAATTGGGTTCCCCATTAAACCGTTTACATACAAGTACACAGTTTTTATACTAAGGATTCGTGTTTAAAAAGTCTTGTAAAGTTCATGTCTTTCACCCAGATATATCCTGTCAGTGGAAGACCAGTGTGACTTCATTAGATACGTTTAGTGTATTTAGAATGTGTAAATTTGTGCTTTGACTGTAGTTTAATAAATGTAAAATTACATCGTAGTGTTTGTTGTGTTTGACCTACTGTAACCTTTGTATGATTGCAATAATTTTTTTGTGTGTAGATTTTACTGTTTTTTCAGGCTAAAAATTTGGGGAAAAGGGGCTAGCTTAGCAAAGGTAGTTTTGAAATAGGTGTGTAAATGGACTGTTCTGAAGGAATTTTTTGTTTTTGTTTGCCCAGTTAAGTTTAGTTTGGCTCAGTATGCTTTTCAGTTATTTAATTAGTAATTTAAGTAAAACGTTTGGTAGATTATTGTGAAGTTCAGATTCATTATGGAGCATTGATGTGCAGTAAGCATGATGTTTAACAATATTAACACCAAAAATGTTAATCCTGCATAAACCAATTGTGATAACTAATAGGTGTTTCTGTATAGATAGAATGCATAAGTACCTTAGTCAAGTTTTGATTTCCAAATCTTTTGTCTGAAATGGGAAATGTATTAAATACTTTCAGTAAAGTAAGGGTGGAAGGTGGTCACTGCAGAAAACTGCAGAGCACTAACACTTAAAAAGAAGGGCTACACCCATATGCAGAGACTTAATGCTCTTTTTGCACGGAATAGTATTTAATTTCAGACGTGTAAGGGGCGGTGGGTAAGCACACTTCGTACTTTTTTACTTTCTCTACTGCAGTGATGATTTTGAGCTTATTTTTTCTAAAGCTATACCTTTAGTTCCTTGTTATTTTCCCATTTGTTCGCCTTAGTGATAACTTTTCATTCTTTTCATACTAAAATTTTGTGGTGGGGGGGCAAGGGCATAGCATCACTAGCCTGACAGTTGTTGCCAGGATCTGCATTGTTCAATTGCTAGAAAATTAGTGCTTCTCCATCTCAATCACAATACTAATAGCATCGGCAGGGGTTACTAACTCCCCTCACTTACTCTGTGTTCACATGTGGAGTTTCTGTCTTCCAAGAGGAAATGGGACTTCGCGGTGGTGCCAATGGACAGTGAATTCTGCCTGTGCTGCCGAGGGGAAGCTTGGAATGCGCTTCATAGCTGGTTTTTACACCTTGATTTCAAGGTGTGAGGAAATTGATCATGAATGGTGAATAAATGTTTTAAAAACCAGTAGGTGCTTAATGATTTTTTGATTTTATTAATGCCCATTTAAATTGCATGGGTTCTCAATAAAATAAAAATTTAGGACCCCACTCCATTGTCATCTAATTGCCCTGCAACTCATCCAAGGTAAAATGTGGGGTTTGATACAAAATCCCAACGTCCCATGCAACTTTTTTTAACCATACTGAGGAGGAGGAATTGTTACCTGCCTTCTTGGTATGCGCTACATTGTGGCCCATAAATGCCAAACCTTTTAAAGGTGGTGCAACTTGGAGTTCTTGGCTTGACTGTATGGCCTTGTGATCTATTTGGCATGTCAGTTTTGCCATGTATTGTTGGAAAATTATTGTATGTGAAGTGGCTCAGAGTTGCAAATGTCAACATATGAATGATTTGGTAACTTTTAGAAATGTCTGTTGTATTTAAAGATTGTTTGCCAGAAATCTGAGGTTTGGACCTATGCATTTCAATTTGATATGCTAAAAAGGTACTGAATTAATGTAACAGTCTTTTTTTCTCTTCACAATCTTGTAATTCAGTTCAGATTTTATCTGAAAATACAAAACCTGAATGATTTCTATATAGTAAATTGAACTGTAAAGGTAACTTGTGTGTGATTCTGAATACACCGATAAAATGTTTTTATTCCTCATCACATTTTACTCTCTTGGCTTCTGTTGTAAAACCATTGAATTTTTATATGTCAGTTTTGTGTGTGTCAACCAACTTTATTTCCCCTCTCCTGAATCTTATTTGTTTTATTATAAAATCACAGCTTGAATATGGTAGGAGGGATGTTGGGAATTGTGTATGGAATCATGGAAGTTTAGATAAAAGCCCAGCTATGATTGATAGGGTAATTGACCAGTCTTCTAATAATTTTAGAAAATGCTAAGTAAATGTGAGTACTGCTGACCCCCAGGACAGGACAGAAACCACTGACAGCAGGGGGCTTACCAGAATAGTGGGAGAATGCCCTTCCTTTTAATGCCAGGTTCCCCCCTGAAATGGTCAGCCACTTCATTTTGTGTCGGAATTGCCATCTAGAAGTGACTGCTGTGAAAAGCCTGTGGCATGTAGGTTTTCTGACAGTATATTCAGAGACTACTTGCTTGGCTTTAAATTTCCTAGTTTCTTTATAGGGATTATTGGAAACAATTAAATGGCTCCTAATTGGGAAAAAGGACTAGCTAGCAAAGGTAGCAGATGGGTTAGTAGTACATTAAAAAGTTGGTTTACTTGCTAATGGATGTTGGCTATATAAAACCTTACGAATGAAACTTTTAAAATGAAAATAAACGTATTTCCTTCCCCTCAACCTCCCTTTGAGAATTTTAAAGTGTGAGTTACTTGATGTAGCATTGTCTTGAACAGTATTCCTTTCCCAGAAGGAAAATGAAAGACTGGACTGTTTAAGCCAGGTGTTAGCAGGATGCATACAAACCTGTCTTTGCCACCTAGTTCTTGGACCATCAGCTGGTCACCAGCTGTTGTGCTTCGGGTCCCCCACATACAGGAGGTGGTACAAGTAGTAGCCTCGTCAGGTTCCACCCTTCATACCATAGAACCAGCTGTCAGTTGCTGAGACGGGCGTAGCATACAATAAGATAAGATTCAGTAAGTGCTGGTTTATTATTTAGATCACATTGCTTGGGACAAGTAGGGGACGTGGGATCTAATATTTGCCTCATCACTGTGGGAACTGAAGATGTTTAACGTGCCTAACTGTGTTCCTGGCTTGTAGACTGACTCAAGGCAACTAACAGCTGTGGTGGATGGTTGGACTTTTTTTAAGGTAACTTGCATATACTTGACCCCCATCCCTTCTATTTTGGACTTTTCAATAGGATGGAGTTGATGTGTTGGTCCCTGTTACTAAGGTGATTTTAGATAACCCAGTGCGATGATCTAACAGCGTAGTCTAATTTGAAGTTGCCTGGCAGGAAGAAATGAAAACATGAATCCAGGAAGAAGGAAATTAGCCGTCTTCTACCTACATGCAGGTTTGAATAGATGTTGCTACAAACACTTCCTCCTCCTCCTGCAGGCAAGATAGAAGCACTGCTGAAAGTGTTTAGGTGAGGGACATTGGCTGTGGGGTCACCTGTCTGCCTTAGGCGCAAAAGTGAGCCAACTGGTTTCTGGAAACCCCCCACCCCCATACAGGAAGGAATTTGCATCAAATTTTAGTCAAGGATTGTTTGGCTAAGGTATTATCCCTAGCATTTGTATTGTTAATTTGGGACATGGGGGAAGTGTAGAAATAACCCACAAATTTCAAGTCTTCTCATTGCCCATGGAGAAATGATAAGTCGGGAAAGATTCTGGTAATGTATCATAACCTATTTAAGCACATTAGCTTTAACCTATGCCTGCTGTAAATTGGGAGGGTCTTATTCTGATAGAATTTAGCCCCAGATTCCAACTACTTATTTTCTAAATTTGTCATTGAAGTTTGCTAATGCCTATTTTTTTAAACTTTATTTTTGTTAGCATACACAACACCACAAACTCAATTTTTCCTTATATATTTCTTACACATTTTTTTAGTTCATTCCCGATTAACATAAACTCACTCCATGAGTTTCCTATCTAGACTTTTGGGTTGCTGTGATCCATTTGGTCCCATATAGATTTACCTTAGAACACAAAGTTTGAGACAGGCATCTTTTATTAAGCTATGATAATGTCTGGGGAAATTTTAAAATAATTTGGTTTCAGGTTAAAGACTTTCTGAGGGCAATGATTTCAAGGGTTCATGTAGCCGTGGCTCCAGAGAGATGAGTTCATGAGGATTTTTAAATTCTGCATTCCCTCTTGATCGTGGTTCTGTACAGTTCCCATGACAGGGGCTCATGTCCAGTTCCTCTGGTCTCGGCAGAAAGCATACCAAGTATCAGATCCCATGCTTCATGTCCCATTCCTCACTGCCTCTAGCTGCAGGCACAGAGATCAATGATTGTGTGCTGGGTGACCCCTGAGGTACACTTAGGAGCCCAGGCACTCAGTGCACAGTGAACTAAGGTCAGAGTGTCAAGTGACACCAGGCTGGTGAACTGAGGCACTGCTAACTGCAAGCCCAGCAGAGAGCAACTGGCCTTCGGTTGATGCAGGTGGACGTGGAGACCAGGCTAGCACTCAAGGAGACAAGCCAATCTGCTTTGGGACCTTCCAGTTGTCCCTTCCAAAGGGAGAGCGGTAGCCTTCCCACTCCAAACGCTTCACCGCCAGGGCAGGATGGGCCCTACGTGCAGCTTTGCAAGCCAAGCAGCAGTGTCCAGGCCTGGCTCAACCCATCTTAATGTCATAAGGCTCCAGGCTCAGACCAGCACTCGAGTGCCCACTCTCCATTCCTTGTATTGCTCTCCGACCTGCCCCTTTCAGCCTGCCAGCACCTGTGCTGCCAGACCACTGTCCATTCCCAACAGAATACCCACAGCAGTGAGCCAAGCCAGGGGCCTACCAAGTCAGCCTTCAACCTGTCTCCCTGTCCCTTGCCTGGGTTAGTTCAATGGTTTCTGACCCTTCTTTGTCAGGCTGTGCCCCTTGTGCTGCTGACCTTACAGCCTCAGGCCGAGTTCGACACTGAGCTGCTGATGCTGCTGTTAATCTGCTGTAAAGTCCCCCTTCACAGCCCTATTTCTCAAACCCTGGTCAGCCTTCCAAAGATGCCATCTTGCTGTTTGTCCTGTGAGACCTCCGGCCACCCAGAGGCAACCTCAGCTTTATCCATTTATCACCTTTATTCACCCCTGTACCAACACCTTGCGTGAGAATGTCCTGTACGTCAGGGACAACACTAGGGAACAGATTCCCTGGGGCCTTCAACTGAGTTCTAGACCCACTCAGACAGGTCAGGTGGGGACCGACCGGGACTGGACTGCAAGGCCCCTGTAGGTGAGATTCTGGCCCCGCCCACCTGGGAAGGCTGCAGGGGGAAGTGGGTCATGTGGTCACAGACCAAGAGCTTGCTCTGTGCTGTCATCGGCCCATCCCTTGCTCTGCTGGCCAGTTCCTCTTCCCGCCTGTGGCATGGACCCAAGGACAAGACCGGCTCTGTCCCCAAGTCTAGCTTGGTGGCGACGGACTCGTGAAGCAGCAGAGCCCCGTTGGGAACAGGTGTCAAGGCAGCCTGATTTCCGTTTCTACCACTTCCTATATGTGTGACCTTAAAGGAGTCTTCCACCATCCTGAGCCTCACATCAAATCCCAAACCCCACTGCCTCAGAGTCATGCGACCTGACTCCCTCCGTGACATTTACTGAGATGCAAACTGACAAGAGGGTGGAGTCCCCAGGGCTTTTGAATTGCTGTCCTTGCAATTAGCAACTCAACTTGTAACCCAGGGATGGGTATTGCCTGTAGCTGTGTAACAGATGCCCCCACACTGAGACTGAAGACGACAATCCATGTTATGCCATCGTTTCTGCCAGTGGGGGATTCGGGCTCGGAGTCTCCTGACCGTCAGCTGTGGCTGCAGTCATGTGAAGGCTTGACTGGAACTGGATCATCACCTGCCAAGAGGGCACGTGCGCCTGGCAAGGGGTGGCTGGTGGCGGTGTCAGATCAGGCTCATTTCGATCATCTGTAGTCAGCGGTTTCGGTTTTCACCGCATCGAAGATTCTGCTTCTAGGTTTGGCTGACATCTGTCTCCCGAGACCATAGCACCTACAGAAGAGCGTCTCCTTTCAGTTAGGGTCCCTGCCTCTGAGTCAGCCCCGGCTCGCTTGCCCTTGTTTGCTGAGCTGTAGGGAGCAGTCCCACCTGGGCTTCACCACACCTAGGTAAGGGTAAGCAAGGTAAACTTGGGTGACCAGTCCGTGGTGTCAGGACCCTCTCAGCATAGTAGTGGTACAAGCGATCCCAGAAGTGCAAAGAGAAGATAGTGGCCAAGTCCACTGTGACCTGATCTTGGTAGCCACCCTGTCATTTCTACTTTAAAAAAAAATAATTTTCTTAGGGGCTCTTAGAACTCTTGTTACAAGCCATACATCAATTGTATCTGACATATTCGTACATATATTCCACCATTTTTTTCTAGACATTTACTTTCCATTGAGCCCTTGGGATCAGCCCCCCACCCCCACCCCCCTACCTGTCTTACTGGTCACAATTCAGCCCTGTGGAAAGCCAGGAGGGGAGCGTCATTGAAGGAGTCCTGCTGCTAACAATGGTTAAATGATTGGTTACTGTGTTAGTCTGGGGAGACTAGAGAAACAAATCCACAGAAACTCACAGGTATAAGAGTTTTATATAAAAGGTACGTTAAGAAAGCATCCCAGTCCAGTCCGAGCCCCTAAGTCCCACACTGATCTACAAAGTCCTCAGACTCACAAAAGGCACGCAATAATGCCAAATGCAAGAGGCAAACCGTATCAGTGAGCATGTAAGCATCTCAGCGCTGGCAGGGGTCTCCGTATGGCTGTATCAGGGTAGGTTCATGTGGCTTCTACTCGGGGATTTCCCACAAGAAGTGAGCCTTGCCAGCTAAGGCAGGGAACTGGCTAAGGCAGCTACACCCTGATCCAAGTATCAGAGCGCAAGAGATCCAAGAACTAGAAAGGTGAGGCTCACTGAGCCATTTATCTCTCCGCCCTTCAATTCCATGTGTTTATCAACCTTAACTATCTCAGCAACGACCCAAACGGTTGGCGGTTCGAACCCACTAGCCACTCCAAAGGAGACCAATGTGGAAGCCTGCTTCT